CGATAGGGGCTCTAATCCAAGGCGCATGCGCTTGGCGTTCTGACTTTCATTCTCGCAAGCTGTGGCCAAGAGGCTTTCAGCAGCAGCAGAAGTCAAATGTGGAGGGGTGGGCCGAAGCTGTAACAATTCACAATTACAAATACACTGTAATCACTCACTGACTCACTGAGTAAAAGTGTTGTGTAAGTAAGTAACACCAACATTTGTTGTTGTTGACAATTTACGTTTGGATAATAACGTTAGCAGTGAATTCTATTGTCATGTCAGTTCTGGGGCATCCTTGTAGGGAAAAACAAAGAATAGACCCACTTTGCATAACAAGCATCTAATAAAAAGCCGACTAATTAGATAGAGTGTTTCTTTTGTAGTCGGAGTGTATCTGCCTGAGAGTTGAGAGGGGGGGGGGGGGGGGGGGGGGGGGGGGGGGGGGTAGAATCAACATTCTGCATACAAATAAGCCAGATCTGTAAAAAAGATGTGTACACAAAACTCAGGTTGTGAAACAAGACTAAAGTCCAAAAATGGATGAACAACCACAACTTTCTGCTGGGGTTTAAAAACAGTACATAAGGTCGACTGACTCTTTACCAGCAGAATGAGACTGCAGATTACAATACCCTGTGGCAATTATGGGTGCCATAATTACAACTTATGTTGAATACCGTAAGCATAAGCAGCGTTTTATAAAATGAACAATATTTGAAGCAATCTTTCTGTGTCAATTGAGACCAAAAAGAGCATTCTTAAAAGCTGTATAGATCTAATCTTGATATACGGAAGTGAATCATGGACAGTTGGTAGATTAGTGAAACATTATTTGGAAGCGGCGGAGATGTGATTTTATAGACAAATTATTAGATTACCCTAAAAAAAATTTTTTTTTAAAGTAATGTAGATGTCTTTGATCATGCCAAGAGAAGGAGAAAACTGGAATACATCCTGACGGCAGGAAAATTGGAGGGGAAGAGAGGCAGAGGGAGACTGAAAGCAAAGATGCTTGACAGTTTGACATAACAACAGGGAGGATCATCTGTGTTAGAGTTAACCGAAAGTACACAAGACAGAAGGTTGTGGATAGACATAGCTACCAACGCCACATGGCTAGGACTCTTTAAGAAGAAGAAATTTAACTCCTTTGGTGACTGAAAGTGGCTTCTAGGATTCACCCTATAGGTCGGCCATCCAGATTGAGATTTTATATACTCAGGGGGATCAAACCATCAGGCAAAAATTTGGAGGGAGTGGAGAGAATGGAAGGAAGGAAGGAAGGAAGGAAGGAAGGAAGGAAGGAAGGAAGGAAGGAAGGAAGGAAGGAAGGAAGGAAGGAAGGAAGGAAGGAAGGAAGGAAGGAAGGAAGGAAGGAAGGAAGAAAGAGAGGAAGAAAGGAAGAAAGGAAGGAAGGAAGGAAGGGAGGAAGGGAGGAAGGGAGGGAGGGAGGGAGGGAGGGAGGGAGGGAGGCAGGCAGGCAGGCAGGCAGGCAGGCAGGCAGGCAGGCAGGCAGGGAGGGAGGGAGGGAGGGAGGGAGGGAGGGAGGAAGGGAGGGAGGGAGGGAGGGAGGGAGGGAGGGAGGGAGGGAGGAAGGAAGGAAGGAAGGAAGGAAGGAAGGAAGGAAGGAAGGAAGGAAGGAAGGAAGGAAGGAAGGAAGGAAGGAAGGAAGGAAGGAAGGAAGGAAGGAAGGAGGAAGGAGGGAGGGAGGGAGGGGGAGGGAGGGAGGGAGGGAGGGAGGGAGGGAGGGAGGGGAGGGAGGGAGGGAGGGAGGGAGGGAGGAGGGAGGGAGGGAGGGAGGGGAGGGAGGGAGGGAGGGAGGGAGGAGGGAGGGAGGGAGGGAGGGAGGGGGAGGGAGGGAGGGAGGGAGGGAGGGAGGGAGGGAGGGAGGGAGGGAGGGAGGGAGGGAGGGAGGGAGGGAGGGAGGGAGGGAGGGAGGGAGGGAGGGAGGGAGGAAGGAGGGAGGAAGGGAAGGAAGGAAGGAAGGAAGGAAGGAAGGAAGGAAGGAAGGAAGGAAGGAAGGAAGGAAGGAAGGAAGGAAGGAAGGAAGGAAGGAAGGAAGGAAGGAAGGAAGGAAGGAAGGAAGGAAGGAAGGAAGGAAGGAAGGAAGGAAGGAAGGAAGGAAGGAAGGAAGGAAGGAGGAAGGAAGGAAGGAAGGAAGGAAGGAAGGAAGGAAGGAAGGAAGGAAGGAAGGAAGGAAGGAAGGAAGGAAGGAAGGAAGGAGGAAGGAAGGAAGGAAGGAAGGAAGGAAGGAAGGAAGGAAGGAAGGAAGGAAGGAAGGAAGGAAGGAAGGAAGGAAGGAAGGAAGGAAGGAAAAGGGAGGGGGGCGGGGGGGGGGGGGGGGGGCTGGGGTGGGTGACCTGGAAACCCTAGGTCGAATATATTACAATTTGTTTAAAGAGAATGTGCTTTGAAAAGCCATGTATATTTGACTTCAAGAACAATCAATGAGTAACCTTAGAGTGACTGCTGCATAGAAGGACTGAGCATGCATGGGAATACACAAATATGCTTGTGGATTCTGATAACATAAGATAACATTTGACTATCCTGACATCAATATATTCTTGACTTTGTTGTTGTTATTAACTGTGGCCGTGAGGCCACAGGCGAACGAGGCTCTGGCTCGCCAGATGGGATGGGGTCCATCTGGTCAGATTTTCCCTTAAACTGCGACTGGCCTAGCAAGCCGGCAGTGGATTTTTTATTGCTACGAAAATTAGAAAGGAGATATATAAACGGATAGCCCCAAACGGAAAATGGACTGGAAACGTTAAAGGACGACGAGACAGAAAAACGACTTACATAGGCACATGGAACATATGTGGTATTGCCAACAAAGAACCACAAATAGTGGATTTCATGAAAGAAAAAAATATACACGTCATGGGTCTTGCGGATACAAGAAAGAAAGGATATAATACAAAAGAAATACATGAAAATTATGTTTTATTATGGAGCGGAGTACCCACTAAAGATAGGGCAAAACATGGTGTCGGATTTATACTTCATCCCGAGACAGCAAAATTAATAACAGGAACAGAATTTATATCAGAAAGAATTATTTTAATCAAGTTGACAGAAGGAAGTAAAACTACAACGATTATTCAGATATATGCACCTTGCAATGACAGTTATTCTGAAGAAGAAAAGAAGACTTTTACGAGAGACTTACGGACACCATCAACAATGTTAAAGAGAAAGAGGACATCATAGTAATGGGAGATTTTAATGGTAGGGTAGGTAAAAGAAGATCACCATGGGAGAGATACCTTGGCCCATTTAGCGACACAACCACAGATTGCAATAGAAATGGAGAACACCTGCTAAACTTGTGTGCTGAACAAGATCTCTACATTACCAACACATTCTACCAACATCGCCAAAGTCAGGTTAAAACGTGGTACAAGTGGAACAACTTAGATCAAGCGTCACAAATTGATTTTATACTAGTCAGACAACGGCAGAAGAGGAAGGTAAGAGACTCAAAAGCTGTCCCAAATGCGGGACTGGATTCAGACCATCGCCCAGTAGTTATGAACATTTGCAACTCAAGTAGAAACAGTCTACATAAACAGAAACGTGAAGAAATCATCAACACTAAGAAATTAGAGGAAGAGAATATCAAACATGAATTTGAACTAGAAATAACAAAGGCTTTTGCAGATATTGCCAAGGAACCAGTAGGAATTGAAGAAGAATGGGATTATTATAAATCAACCATCACGAAGATATTAAAAGACAAGTGTGGTACCAGAAAGACGGGCAAAGGCAAGAAAAAGGGTACCGCTTGGTGGAATTGAAGAAGTAAAAGAAGCAGTGTCAAATAAAAAGAAGATGTTTCAAATATGGTTAAAAACAAAAGACGAAAAGGATTACATTAGGTACAGACTAACCCGAAGAGACACCAAGAGAACAATAAAGAAATCCAAAGAGGAATCATGGAAAAAGTATGGTGAACACCTAACACAGCTATGTACAGAATCATCAAGAGACTTTTATAAGAGTGTGAAAGCGATGCGATTAAGAGAAGAAAGCTTCAATCCAACATCAGTCATAAATGATAAAAATGGGAAAACCATTATTCAGCCAAAAAGAAATTAAAAAAAGATGGGAGGAATATTTTAAAGAACTTTTGAACCCGTCGGGAATACATGAAACAGCAGAATTCCATTCAAGGGCTCCAGATCATCTAGAACCACACATCCTGCGGGATGAAGTAGAGAAAGTTATCAAAACAAGTAAAAGACACAAAGCAGCTGGTATCGACGGAATAACAACAGAAGTCATCCAGGCTGGAGGGGACACTATGATCACCTGGCTGGAGAGAATTTTCAATAGAGCATGGGCAGAGAGAAAGGTACCAGTGGATTGGCAAAGATCAGTTGTAGTACCTATCTGGAAGAAAAAAGGAAACAAGAGAGAATGTGGAACTTATAGAGGAATATCTTTACTAAGTCATGTGGGGAAAATGTATGCAAAGATCTTAGAATGTAGGATAAGAGCAAAGGTTGAACCTCTACTGAGTAAAGCACAATTCGGTTTCAGGAAAGGGCGAGGTTGCACTGATGCCATATTTGCACTAAGACAAGTCTGTGAAAAGACACTCGAATACGATAAAGAGCTGAACGTGGTCTTTGTAGACCAAGAGAAGGCATTCGACCGTCCGGTAGACAGAGATGTGCTGTGGAGAATTCTTGACGATTACGGAGTGCAGAGGTCAATTATTACGACAACAAAGCCCTCTATTAGAAACAGTAAGAACATCTAGTGGTCTTTCTGAAGTTCAAAGTCCAAACTCAGACAAGATGTGTACTGTCACCATTTACTTTTCATTAACATTCAGGATAAGATCACTGTGTGCAAAAACGTATATGCTATAAAAGATTACTTTTTGCTGATGAATCAAAGGTACTTTCAAAATGAATATGATCTACAGGAACAGTACTATCTCAACTAACAGCTGTTTAACAAACATAATATGAGTAAATCAGTACAGAAAAAACAGAAGTTATGAAGATCAGCAGAATCACACAGGCCACTTAATATAATGTTGGATAAGTGCCAAAATCAAGCAAAACCAAAGAGTTCAACTACTTGGGCAGTGTATTTACAGAGGATATGGACAAGAGAGATGCAGATTTTCAACCAAAGAAGCTCAGGATATAAGGCAAGAGGAAGACCAAGGAAACGGTGGATTGACGGGGTCTCCGAAACCTGCCAAAAGCATGGCCTCAGAACATCAGATGCTGCCCGCCTTGCTTACGACAGGAACTTGCATCTCCCCACAACGCTTAGCGGCATACGTGGAAGGAAAAAGTAAAAGTAAAGTAAGTAAGTTGTTGTTATTAATTCTCCCAGTGTGTTCAAATGCCAGCTTTTATGATTACCAACTTTCATCAACAGTCAGCTGCAATTCTAGTAAGAGACTCTTAGTGTTGGCACATCTTAAAATTGCCTTATGCATTTGCTTTGCATGTGCGCACTTAACAATTTTGCTTTGACTTGCTTTTCACCAGTTTTCAAATGAGACAGTATAGGACATTCTGTGTGATTTCCACTGATGCAGCAACAGTGTAGCTGTGGGTTGATCCATCAGTATCCGTGGTAAAAATGTTTTTAAAGCAGAGGGCTGGATTTAGACTTGATGAGGCCCAAAGCTGTCTAAAGCCCTGAGGCCCTACCATTTTAAATTACATCAGTAAATCTCAGAAAACTAAAATATATACGCCTTTTAAATATATCTTTTTCTCCTTCTCGTCCATCATCTACCTTAGCTAGGGTTTGGGGTAGATGTAAGTATCGTTTGTGCGCTTTTTCCAATGCATTGTACAAGTGGGTGTTCATTTCTGTTAGGCTGCTCCTGATGATGTCGCTCCACATCTTGCATGGTCTTCCCCTTGCTGTGTTCATTATATTTCTTAAGCTTGGCTCAGTTGGTATCAGGGCATTCTTGTCAGGGTGGCATATCATCTCATTTGATGTTCTTTAATAAATTGTATGACTGGTTTCCGTCCTAGTCTTCTTCGTTAAACATATGGATAATGGAAACATATTGTTGTTTAATTTTTATTCAAAGAAATAACAAAGAATATGTTTGTAAAATCAGACATTATATTACATAATCCTGTAAAAGGCTGTAAGTTACAACCTAAAATATTTTTTCTTAATTTCTCAAATTATAGTTGTGAAAAAAAATTTTTTTTTTTAAAGGCTTATTTAGCTTTTGTATAAATACAGCATAGATGAAAAGCACAGAGGGGAAATGATTGGGAAAAACAAGAATAGACACACTGACTCCTCGACAAGCAAGTGGACTAACTGGGGGCATCCTCTGAAGTCGGAGGCAAACAACAGAGAGTCTGCATACAAATAAGACAGGTATGGGAAATGGATGCTCATGTAATACTCAGGTTCTGGAACAAGAATAAAGTCCGGAGGTGGAAGAACACCCAGAACTTTCCACCAGAGATTTCAGCTGGTGAAGAAGAAGAAGGAGGAGGAGTAGGAGGATAAGGAGGAGTAGGAGGATGAGGAGGAGTAGGAGGATGAGGAGCAGCATCAGCAGGAGAAAAAGAAGTAATAATATAAAACCAGTATATGGATCTGAAACTTGGAGTACTGCTAAAAGAGAAGAGGCTAACTTCTGCAAACAGGTCAACTGAGAGTAAGGAGCAATAATGAATTCATAATCTGTTTAAATCACCACTGAATTTTAGCATCGTTAAAGCTAATAGACCACTATGGTTGGGACATACAGAGAATGGTAGATAACAAAGAGACCAAAAAACAGCATAAACAAAAGAGTTAAATGGGAGTAAACAATGAGAAAGACCAAGAAGAATATGGAGAGATAATTTACTAGCAATCAAAGATAAAGAGGCAGATTATATCTGCAGCAATGAACCCTAAGGGCTTGCTAAAGAAGAAAAACTACTTAAATACCTAAAGGTGTTATGATGTGTGATAGACCGTTAATCCCAACCACTACATTATGCATTCTCAGACTTTTTACATTTAGTAAGGTGCGCTTAAGAAATCTGACCTCCCCAGTGGCCACTTTCTCTGTGCACTGCCCAACAGGTAAAAAAATCATACTGATTTTATTATATGGAAGAGTAAAACATCATCTCATCCACTGAAGACTATCCAACATTTAAAATTTATTATATGCAAGAGTAAAATATCATCAGATCTATTGAGCACTGTCCAACAATGAAATAAGTAATGAGACTGAATTTATTATATACAAGAGTAAAATATCATCAGATCTATTGAGCACTGTCCAACAATTAAATAAGTAATGTAAAAAGTAAAAAGTAAAGGACCCTTTCCACGCCTTTAGGCGTATAGGGCATATAGGGCTAGACCTATATTTTTATAGACCAACGGCACAAGATGGGTGATGTGATCAGCATCACGCCAGCCGCCTCTACTTCCCGGGATTGCACCCGGTACCCACTCAAGGCTGGTTCGACATGGGACCCAAGGTCATTTTTGAAGAAAAGTCCGTCTCCGCCAGGGAGTGAACCCACGACCTTCCGATCTGCGGCGAGCGTCTAGCCGCTCGGCCACGGCGACTCCCAAATAAGTAATGAGACTGACTTTATTATATGCAAGAGTAAAATATCATCAGATCTATTGAGCACTGTCCAACAATTAAATAAGTAATGAGACTGACTCGATTATGTGCATGAACAAATCATCATCCATGAAGCAAAGCATGTCATCCAAACAAGCAACATTCATCTGGAAAAACTGCAGCACCACTAGTGCAAAAGATGGCAAGTTACCTGGCCTTTTGATTAGCTGATGGGAGGTGCATGGTCACATTTACAGCATGAAGCAAAGAAAGAACATTAAATTATGTTTTAAATTCAAGAAAAAGTACAAGTGAGACAGACAATTTATTGAGAGAAATTTATGGAGATTATTATTGTTTCAAAGAATTTAAGTATTTGGGAGCAATTTTCACAACTGACGGAAAAATGGACAGAGAAATTAGCTCGAGATGTGCCAAAGCTAATCAAGTAATGGGGCAACTATCTCCCCTGTTGACACACAAGCAAATACCTCGGAGTACTAAAGTGATTCTTATCGGAACTGTTTTTTGGCCAACACAGATATTAAATGCCTTAGAAGAGCTGCAGGAGTTTCAAGGAAAGATAAGATACGGAATCAGATGAATGCTAGGAATAAAGCCAGTCTTACAGGTCATCAAAGAACAACAAATGAAGTGGTTTGGACACCTAACAAGAATGCACTGGTACTATCTGCCACAGCGAGCCACACTAAAACTTTACAACGGGTATAGAGCGTGTGGAAGACCTCAGGAAATATTGAGTGATGTCATTAAGAACAGCCTTACAGAAATGAACATCAGTCTTCATAGTACTCTTGACAGAGCTCATCAATGAACAATACATCTCCCCCGACACTTCGATGAGGTACAAGGTGGAAGAGAAGAAGAACAAGAATTACTGTTTTCATGCACAGCTAATCCGATGTTTCTCATGATTCAAAACTGCTGTCGAAATAATTAAACATATAACTACATTGAAACATCCTATTTCTGTTCATAATAGTTAACTTACTGCCAGAATCAGAAAATGGATACACAAAGATCAATGCCTGAAGGATGATGACAGATAAATATGATAATAAACGAGAGACTTTCCCCAAAATTTGACTAGAAGATTTAGACCATGTTTTTGAGAAAGAGATTCACATGAAGTGATGAACACTCGCAAAACATAGGGGGAAAAAATATATATTAATAAGAGGAGGTACTAGATTATATAACAGCTGCAAGCTTCATATTCCAGCATCTGGGTATCTTTATAACAACAGATGTAAGAGGATATGAAGAAAATCCCTGAAGAAGCATTTTGAAGACAGATTCAGCCAGATAGGATAAAACACAGTGCAGAAGTTAATCCTATAAACTTTATGCAAGTAGTTAAGAAAAAAAAAAGTAAACTGTGTGTATAAAAGTAACTTACAGGCTCATATCCATTATGTTCTTTTGATCTACGTAGACGTCTGCAGGATTTGAGGTAGGTTCTTATCCTTTTTCTGGATCGCTCGTTAAACTCAGGGAATTGTCTATCACATGCTTCTAAGATTGCTTGAATCTTATCCTTGGGCTGTTTGGATATCGGTACCATTCTGTCCAGGTTTTCATCCACGAACAAGCGCACAAACATCTAAATTAAATAAAACAGTCAGAAATTTAAAAAAGTAAACTGTGAAGTTGTTTCAAGATTCATAAGCACAATAATAATTTTAGGAGAAAGGAAAAATTTGAATTACACAGTAAGGCAAAAGGAAGAAAAAATATGTTTTTTTTTCTTCTTCTTCTTTTTTTCATGTTTACCTGTAAAAAGTGGTCATCATCATGCTAGTGACCTTTACTTCCCAGAACACTACCTGGTACTTTCTTCTTCTTCCCCGTGAAAAAGGCAGTTGGCAAGTTGTGTTGTGGCTTACAGCTGGGTTGCCATTTCTGCATTTTTCAGCCAAACACATCTGATTTTAGCAACATAGTGTAGGGGATGTGGGGGGGGGGGGTGTAGGGGGTGTGGGGGATGTGTAGGGGATGTGTAGGGGTGAGTGGGAGATGTGTAGGGTGAGTGGGGGATGTGTAGGGGGTTTGATGGTGTGGGGGGATGTGTAGGGGTTGTGGGGGGATGTGTAGGGGGGAGTGGGGGGATGTATAGGGGGTTGGGGGGGGGGAAGGAGGGTGGTTGGGGCAATTCTTATTTCCTCAAATATGGGGCCCTGGAACCCACTCAAAGGGCAACACATCCATCGCTTGATTTTTTTTTTTTTGGTTACTGCTTTTGAAACTGGCAGTTCTTCTCCTTTGCTTTCACAGGCAGTAAACTCCGGCAGAAAGTTCTGGTTGTTCCATCGCCTGAAGAATTTAGAATTGTTCCAACAAAACTTGAGTGTCGCATGCACATCGATTTTACAGATCAGACTTTGTATGCAGATTGTTAATTCCTTGCCTCTCAGGTAGATGCACTCCGACTTCAAAGGAAACCCCCAGTTAGTCGACTCTTACGACATGCAGTAGGCCTATTTTTTGTTTTCCCCACAATAGGACCCTAGAACCCAAATAAACTAGGAGTTCAATATGGAACTTCTTACAGTGCGTTGGACTATTTCCCCAAAAATGTTTGCAATAGAAATCCACACCCACCGATTTCTGCTTGCAAAGGCCAAGCAGCAATGGGCTTGTCCCAGCTGCAATAGAAGTGCTTCTTTATTAGAATGATAATCAATCGTTATTAATTGTAGGATTTTGATTTCAAGCTTGTGTAGATCCATAAAACTTTGCATCTACACTTAGGACTGAGTCTGCAGTTTAATTCTGCTCCTACTTCTTCATTGTTTTTAGTAATAGAATTAACCACTGCAGATGCTGTTTACTGTCAGCATTGTTTCATCTTCATATCTCAAATTGTTGATGAAATGTCCATAAGTCATCAATTCTTCTCTTGTCTTCATTTGCTCAGACTATTTTTACAAGACAGGGGACAATGTCTGGGAATGTTAAACATTCCAGTCACTAATTCTTTGTTAGCTAGTACGGGACTACTTCGTAATTATAAATTATTTTTATTTTATTATGATGACATGCTGCGTCAATAAATATTATTTATGTCTTAGGTTTGCCTGTGAATTTGAAGATTTGCAAGAATATAATTATTCTTACTGTATGAATAAAAACATGTTCTGAAAACTGATTTGCTACAAAAGAAGTAAATATTGTAATGACCATTAGTTCATGAAAGAAATCTTTTCACCAGGTGATGCCGGTGTGCTGGGAACTGAACAGGTGGACATACTGGCTGGCTCTGCACAACTTGGTGGAATACTGATACATGATAAGGCAGACGTGGTTAGTGCCTTGTGGGAGAGCTTGTACAGTTCAGAGGAGCAGATGGATCACCACAGTCTGGTGAGATTGATGCAGTGGGGAGTGACGAGAGGTTCTGGGCTCAGAGGAAAACAAGACGGACGTTTATTCAGAATGCTACTGGCACTGTTAGAATCAGAACTCTTTACTGGCTGCTGAAGATGGGGACGAAGAATTTATGGGAATGCCCCGAGTGCTGTGATGTTGGTTCTTGAATCAAATCAATCAAATCAGAATATGAAGAGAAACCCTTAATGATGATGAGGCTGGCGAAGAGCAATAGGAAGCTACAAATGAGAATTATGATGATCATAGTGATAATAAAGGAAATAAACCAAATACTGTTAAACACTTACATTAAATGCTTTCAGTCGCTCGGGATCTATGTTTTGACCAACCGGAATCTTCTCATCATCATCATTGTCATCATCATCTTCTTCATCCTTGCCTTCACTAGTTTTTGTCACAACACTCTAAAAAAAAGAGAGAGAAAAGAAAGCTCATTACTTGAAAAATATAAAGGAAAAATTATTACAAAATTACAACTTGCTAGTTAATTCCATTTAGTCTCCCCATGAGGGTTCCAGGGCCCTATTATGGGAAAGGAGGGGGGGGGAGGGGGGGTTATGGGAGGGGATAGACCCACTGGCTACCCAAAAGCACATCGTAAGAGTCGACTAATTTCGAGCTTCCTTTGAAGTCAGAGTGCATCTGCCTGAGAGGCAAGGAACCAACAGTCTGCATACAAATGAGTCAGATCTGTAAAATGGATACACATGCAACACTCAGGTTCTGGAACAACTGCAAAGTGGATGTACAACCAGAACTTTACCGCTGGTTAACGCAAAGAAGAAGAAGAATTCCATTTCTCTTTGATAAGTTAACTCCCACCTGGTAAAGTCAGGAACTTTGTTAGGGGTATTAATTTTATATTTGGCCATAATATATTTTTTTAATATGGCACTGTTGAAATGGTAGTCATGTTTGTTATAATGCGTGACAACAGTAAAATGAAATAATATTTTGTTTTACTTTAATCTCTTTAAAAATATTTTGTCACTGCCACAGGAATCAAGAAAGAGGCTGACCTCTTCTCCTCATGCCGTCTCTGCTCTTCATTCATCCTTCTCTCGTTCCCCCCTTCTCCCCCTTTTTTTCTGTCATTCATTTCCTGAGGCACATAGGCCACTAATTAAATAGATCCTAGACTTGCTCATAGTTAGCTGGTTTATCATCTTTTTAGACATTTTGTAGTGAGTACCGGCACCTTGTTTATCTATTTATAAAATAACCCTGGGCATATACGGTATAGCTTGGTCTCTCACTGCAGTGATCTGCCTGCCCAGAGCATTACATTGAACTGATTCGGACACTTGAAAGTGATATCTTTAAATTTTGAATTTGTTAGCTAAAGCCAATAATGAATTTACTCAACACAAGCTGTGCCCTTTTCAGAAGGAGACAATCTATGTTATATCATGAGAAGGAGACAATATATGGTTACGTTATTAGAAGGAGACAATCTATGGGTATGTCATTAGAAGGAGACAATCTATGGGTATGTCATAAGAAGGAGACAATCTATGGGTATGTCATTAGAAGGAGACAATCTATGGGTATGTCATTAGAAGGAGACAATCTATGGGTATGTCATAAGAAGGAGACAATCTATGGGTATGTCATCAGAAGGAGACAATCTATGGGTATGTCATTAGAAGGAGACAATCTATGGGTATGTCATTAGAAGGAGACAATCTATGGCTATGTCATTAGAAGGAGACAATCTATGGGTATGTCATTAGAAGGAGACAATCTATGGGTATGTCATTAGAAGGAGACAATCTATGGGTATGTCATTAGAAGGAGACAATCTATGGGTATGTCATTAGAAGGAGACAATCTATGGGTATGTCATTAGAAGGAGACAATCTATGGGTATGTCATTAGAAAGAGACAATCTATGGGTATGTCATTAGAAGGAGACAATCTATGGGTATGTCATCAGAAGAAGACAATCTATGGGTATGTCATCAGAAGGAGACAATCTATGGGTATGTCATCAGAAGGAGACAATCTATGGGTATGTCATCAGAAGGAGACAATCTATGGGTATGTCATTAGAAGGAGACAATCTATGGGTATGTCATCAGAAGGAGACAATCTATGGGCATGTCATCAGAAGGAGACAATCTATGGGTATGTCATCAGAAGGAGACAATCTATGGGCATGTCATCAGAAGAAGACAATCTATGGGTATGTCATCAGAAGGAGACAATCTATGGGTATGTCATCAGAAGAAGACAATCTATGGGTATGTCATCAGAAGGAGACAATCTATGGGTATGTCATCAGAAGGAGACAATCTATGGGTATGTCATCAGAAGGAGACAATCTATGGGTATGTCATCAGAAGGAGACAATCTATGGGTATGTCATCAGAAGGAAACAATCTATGGGTATGTCATCAGAAGAAGACAATCTATGGGTATGTCATCAGAAGGAGACAATCTATGGGCATGTCATCAGAAGGAGACAATCTATGGGTATGTCATCAGAAGGAGACAATCTATGGGCATGTCATCAGAAGGAGACAATCTATGGGCATGTCATCAGATGGAGACAATCTATGGGCATGTCATCAGAAGGAGACAATCTATGGGCATGTCATCAGATGGAGGCAATCTATGGGCATGTCATCAGAAGGAGACAATCTATGGGCATGCAATCAGAAGGAGAAAACAGGTGTATATCATGACAGTGAGAACGCTGGAGGGAAAAAGAGGCAGAGAAGGCAGGGAAAAAGAGGCAGAGAAGGCAGATAAAAGATGCAGGACAGTTTGACATCATGGCATGGAAGAACATCTGTGTCAGCACTGACTGAAAGTACACAAGAGAAAGTTGTGGAAAGACATGACTACCAACGCCTCATGGTATGGAAGAAGAACAAGCCGGAATTAGAAAGCTAGAAAGCTAAATTTAGAGAAGAAAAATAAGGTGGATGGGGGTAACACACACAGGCATGCACATTTATATGCACACACACACACACACATAAAATCACATGTTTTGACCCTCCCCCTGTTCTCTTCCAAAACACCATCATTAATCAGAATTTCTCGTCACAAAATGCCTGATTGTCTGGCTACTCAATTCCACAGCTCTATGTGTAATCTTGGTAATCTTAGTTTCAGCTTCATAGTAAACAGGTCACTTCATAGTTGCTCTGCTCCTGTGCCAACGAAAAACACACGGAATGTTTATCACAGTCCCTTGTGGAAAGATTGACAGACTGCTGTCTCAGCACATACGTCCCATTTTCTTAATCTACAATTCACACGACCACGTTGGTCACAGTAAAAAAAAACACATTCCAAATGAAATCCACAGCTCTCAGTGTCACACCATGCACTCAACTCAGAAGCTGGGCAACGTAACTATATCCTTCCAGTCTACAAATGGAGCGAAACGGCAACGGCCACCATCTGGCAGAAGCACAAAATTATCACGACTCAAAACAGTGACTGTGCCTAGCGTCCATTTTGACCCACAAAATGTGCTTTCACTGCCAATGCATCCTCAATGTCTGGTATCCCGAACCCACAACCTTCAGATACACAGGTTAGCTCCTAGCTGCTACGATACAGGCAGCTCCCCAAGAAACTCAAGAAGAAACAGTGGCTGATTAAAATTATGTATACAGAAAGACAATAAGAAAGAGACAAACACTGTTCTTTGGCCACGTAATGAGAAGAAAGAATATTGTGACAACTGGAAAGATCAGTGGAAAAAGGTATAGAGGCAGACCAAGAGAGATGATGCTGGATGGGCTGAAGCGATGGCATGGAGGGATAACGTCAAGAGAGCTGCTCCAGGCAACCAGGAATCATGATCTGTGGAGACGCATGAGCGCCTACACCAGTTGGCCGGGCACATGGGGAAGATGAGGTACAAAAAGAGTCTAAGTAAAGAGTTACATTCATGAGACAGTACAGAAAAATCTCTTACATCACCACTTTCACAACTAGCTCTCCTCTTCCTCTCTGGGTGGCCTTTGCCGATAAGAACCTTTCCTGGAATGGGGGAAGCTTTTCTGGAATGAGCTCCTTCAGGTGAGGCATCTGCAGTTCTGGTCTCTGTGTCCACACACTGAGGAGAGGTCCTCTTGGCTGAGGTCATGTCACTGAGTTCCTCCAATACAGCCTCTGTTGGGTAAATAATAAATGTTTTTACTACCATGGAAATCACAGCATTAGTCTTAAAGTAAACGACCTTCCCCCGCATTGGACTATCTCTCAGTCCTTAAAAAGAGAATAGCGGCTTTTGAGCTGAAATGATATAGAACGATTCTCAGAATATCTTGGACATAGAAAAGGAGAAATTCTGACATCTTGAAGGATCTGAACATCAAGGAAGATTGGCAAATAAACAGCATCCTGTCTCAGGAAATAAAATATTTTGGTCATTTCAAGTTCCACGATGGATTGGAAAAAAGAAGGCATGGTAGCAGGAAGGAGAGGCAGGGGCCGACCGACACGAAGATGGCCACAGGATATAAGTGGCTCCTTGAGTATGAAAGTACATGAGGCAAGAGCGCTGAGGAGAGACCGAGTTTCTTTCAGGCAGACCATGATAATAGCGACGTTCTGCAAATTACCTGCTAGATGATGATGATCAGCATTGGGCATCTGACACTAGACTCATAAGTTGTTCAGACCAGTGGTTCTCAACCTTTCTAAAGCAACGACCCTTTAATAAGTTCCTCATGTTGTGGTGACCCCAAACCATAACATTATTTTTGTTGCTTCTTCATAACTTGAGTAAATATGTGTTTTCCTATGGTCTTAGGCGACCCCTGTGAAAGGGTCGTTTGACCACAAAAGGGGTCATAATCCACAGGTTGAGAACTGCTGGTAATGGCCAATCCGCATTTAGTGGATGAAGTGGTCACCATCATGTAAGATCAGTTGTGAGGCATGATCAGTTCACACATGTAAGCGTTAGCAGATAATGAGCACACTGAAGACAGTATCACAGGATATTTTCCTCCTCTTTGCTTCGCTGTTAAGAATTGTTGTTCAGAGTATGCATGTGCAGCTAGCATCGTAGTACTATGTTAGTCAAAGGTTAAAATCAAGGGGATCAACTTCGTTGTACTGGATTTTATCCCATGTGGCTTGGTTTCTCTCCTCAAAATAGCTAGCCGTCTGCTGAGAGCATCGCACACAGCCCAAACTCCCTAGCTCCGGTGAGGATCCCCATAAAAATATATAACCGTAAATACTGCACTCGTGAACTGAAGGGTGCAGCCGTGGTGAGAGCCCGCAACCTTCAAAGCGTGAAGCAAACAGCTTGTCCACTTCGCCACAGAGACCACCTCTCCCCCCCCCCCCCCCCCCCCCGCTTCAGTACTAGTATTTGGTGGCTTTTGCATATTACAGATTTTGCATGAATGACATAAACATGCAGTGAGCGTTCTTTTCACCTTGTTCTCAAGATGTAAACTGGGTGGTGTCTTTGTAATAAATAGTAAACAGAAATAGTAAAATGGTGCATTCTTCTTTGGCAATGGAAAGTGTAAGTGGCAAAAACAGCCCCAACCACTACAGGTCAAAGACCACTGTTCTAGATCCATATTTATTAAAGACCAATCCGGCATTGGGTAGGTGGTGGTTACGTCAGCCATGGTGTTCTCTAGAGATGGCCGTGTGTCGACATCAGGCCGGTCCAGGACAGTGTCTGTTATTGGCTAGGTCGACTTCGGGGTCAAGGTCAGTTTTGAAGAGACACCCAAACAATCACCCCCAAAATGCGGATAGGATGTTTGTTTTAGTATCCAGAAGCCACGAGTTGTTAACCCTTAGGCTCGGTATTATGGATATCGCAACCTTTAGGCCTTGATTCCATTGTAAATACCGTAAATCTGGGAGAAAATGTGGCTTTTTTGCATACCCCCGGGAGTGAATCCGGACCACAAGGAGTTCGTCACCCGCTCACCGCGCAATCCGGTTATGCGGATAGGAACCTAATACATTCGAGCCGACGGGCTAGCGAAGCCTGTTAGCCACTACAATATACTACAACATCAGGACTTTAATTTTAGTTCAACTGAACTCGGGGACTCCGAGAGCTGAAGGAGAGCTCAAAGGGAAAGTCCAATAGTTTAGGGGTGTTACAGTGTGAGATGGGCACCCACTAATTCTAACCCTGACTCCCCTATGATAGTGGACTTTCTCTGAATTCTCGGATTTCTCGAGAGAGTGTGAACAAAAATGATACTACCTTCTGTTTTTCATAAAGAAGTCTACACAAAAATGGGACAATACAAATGGGTGAATAAAAATGGGTAAATGAAAATAGGTGAATTAAAAACGGGTATAGGGACGTAAAGTGGGTCTAATTATGGAGACACTTCAGGTGGTCGCTTTGTAGGCAGCCCGGAGGAGAGGGCCGCACATGCGTGTGACTTTTACAGCAGGGCATAATGAGGGGATTATCCGTGGAGACAGAAGGTGCGCGTGTGTGCTCTCTTTCCTGAAGGCAGCAGCACAGAAGCAAGGTGAGCGGCAGGGGGAATCCAGCCAGGATCGATTGGTAAATCGGAGCGTCTGCTAAATCTTCGGTCGTCTTTTTGACCAGCTGGTACACAACGAACAGCGGTCGTTCCCGGCGCGTGCTGGAGTCGTTTGTGTGTGGAAAAGGAAAAAAAAAGGGGGGGGGGGGGGAATATAAAACGGAGGAGGGAAAGGGCGCAGAAAAAAGAGGGTGGGGGAGGGGGCTTGGGTGCTTCCACGTGAGAAAGAAGATTTAATGGAAGCAGGTTCGTGTATTACCTACCTCATTCCTCTCCCTGTGTGGGCTCCGGGGTCCCATTATTGGGGGGGGGGAAGAGAGAGACGAGGGAGAAACAACAATAGACCCACCGCCTTCCCAACAAGAATGACCTCAGAATCTACTAACCGAAGGGATTTCTTCGTATAGGTCGGAATGCATCTGCCTAAGAGGCAAGAAACCAACAGTCTGTACACTAATAAGTCAGATGATAAAAACAGACGCGCACGCAACGCTCAGGTTCCGGGGCCAAACTAAAGTCTACAGGTGGACCAACATCCAGAACTTTCTTCCAGAGATTATATTACAACCGGCGAACACGAAGCAGAGGCTGAAGAAGACTTCATTCTAGTAGTGCGTTCATGGTTACTAGTTTTAGACTACTATAAAAAATGGAGAGACAAACAAAGTATGTGTCGTATGTGTGTGTGGGTGTGTGGTTGGGTGTGGGGGGTGGGGGCGGGTAGGGCAGATACGAAATGAAGAATGGTTAGGTAGTCTTCGTGGCGAAGCGGTTGGGCCCTTTGCCTGGCACCCCGAAGGTCATAGGTTTGTTTCCCGGCTTCGTCGCTCTGTTCATTTGTGCATTTTTTTTTGTTTTTTGTAAACAGATATTCCCAGGGATTGTCACCGGAGCTGTCTGCAAAAAAAAGGGGGAGCCCCGGTGTGGGGTAAGGTTGCGGAGAGAAACCGTGATGTATGGTACAAAGCTTGCGACATTGAACTTGATCCTCTCGTGTACAACTTTGATTTTTTTTTTTCTAATCCTTGCATTTGTTCAATGAAAATGAACAAACCTCTCAACTACATGTTTGACTTTTTAATCTTTGCGATTTGCTAAGTGAAATTGATCACCTTGACTACATACATCTGTGGCATTTTTATCTTTACATATGCTCAATGAAACTGATTCTCTCGGCATATTTGACTTTATCTTTTTAAAACTATTACCCTTTCTTAAATATTGGTTGCCTACATTGTACCCACTATTGTTGTTGTGAATGTTACTGCGTGGCCCCAAGGAAAGAAAGAAGGAAGGAAAAGAGAAGGAAGAAAGAAAGAAAGAAAGAAAGAAAAAAGAAAGAAAGAAAGAAAGAAAGAAAGAAAGAAAGAAAGAAAGAAAGAAAGAAAGAAAGAAAAAAAGAAAAGAAAGAAAAGAAAGAAAGAAAGAAAAGAAAGAAAGAAAGAAAGAAAGAAAGAAAAAAGAAAGAGAAAGAAAGAAAGAAAGAAAGAAAGAAAAGAAAGAAAGAAAGAAAGAAAAAGAAAGAAGAAAGAAGAAAGAAAGAAAGAAAGAAAGAAAGAAAGAAAGAAAGAAAGAAAGAAAGAAAGAAAGAAAGAAAGAAAGAAAGAAAGAAAGAAAGAAAGAAAGAAAGAACGAAAAGAAAAGAAAAGAAAAGAAAAGAAAAGAAAAGAAAAGAAAAGAAAAGAAAAGAAAAGAAAAGACCACCGACCGACCGACCGACCGACCAACCGACCGACCGACCAATCGCACGACCCACCAATCGACCGACCGACCCACCGACTGACCTACCCCGACCGACCCACCGACCCACTGACCGACCGACCAAAATGTGGAACTAATAAGGTAGTGACGACGTTTACTTGTTATTTCTGCTACATTATGGAAACTACATAAGTAGTGAATTTATACTTCTTTTACTATGCTTCTGTTATCTTTATTGTAAGTTAAATCGAATCTACCGTCATGTGCTTTTGGGCCCATCAGTGGAGCCAGCAATAGTAACACTGCAAACTGTTATGCATGTCGTAAGAGGTGACAAAGGAATGTTGCCTCGAAACTAGTATTATCCAGTAGTACACAGGCCGCAAAATCAAACATCTTGGATTCTACGACCGGATTTGTATGTTTTGGCTCACAACCTAAGCTTCACTGGGAGGCAAAGGTGAAAAACATCAGTTCAGGAAAAGAATGCATCTAAACATGAGTAGCAGAGATATTACAGTGGGAGTGCGCTTTTTAACCAACACAATAATTTTAGTTCTTTCTCAGGAGTGACAACATTCTCTATTCCGATCAGTTAAAGTTAGTTGCGTATCCTTTACAGGACGTTGCAGAACCAACCCTAACAGCCCCTGGCTGTTGTGTGGTTTCTCTAGGCAATTTACATCCAGTAGTTTGCCATTGCTTCTGGACGGTCGGCTTTCTTGATACCACTGTCGAAACCAACGCAAGGCGCGTTGCCCGCACCTGGGATCGAACCTGGCATTCCGGCATTACGAAGCGAAACGTTTGCATCGATTTAGCCATAGAGCCGACATTCCGATCAGTACTGTGATTAAAATTATCATCAGATAATTTGAGAAACTTGTGGAAACTAGTTGGGAAGGAAAGGCGACACGGTCAGGAACTGAC